AGGGGCCAGTCGCCTGCTTCCTTTCCCCTGATAAAGACTGTTCCTTGCGAGCTGACAAGGTTTCAGGAGGATGGATGGGAGTGCGGCGGTGGCAGGGGATGGGAAATGAGAATGGCACATTAGAGTCAGGCAGCTCCTCAGCTGGCAGGAGCTGTCACGGCAGCTCTGCTCGCCTGCCTCCTGCAGCGTGCCACCCCTGCACAGCCAGCCCCCAGCGCTGCTTTGGGGTGGAGCTGGGGTTTATCCTGGCCAAACTCGCTCCTTAAGGAAGAGCTGTTTCTCTTCCTCATCCACAGGGTATCTTGCATGGGGAAGGGGGACAGCAGGAACTCCTTGGACCTCCTGTCCACCAGGTCCTGCCCGAGCCACTCCTGGGCTCTCAGAGCTGTGGAGGGGAGATGGAGAAGGGGAAAAGGTCTGGTTAGCAGCTCCTCGATAGTGCCAATGGCAGCACAGGCCACAGTGGGACTCCACGTTAAACACAGTGAGAAGCAGGGAGTGGACACGAAGGAAAAGTTTATAGGCGGCATCTGAAATGAGGTGGCGAAGCTGCATGTGTAAGGGGGGTGCAAAGATGCTGGTCACAAGACCAGCCCTGTAGCAGTAGTGATGGGCTTAGGAGGACGAGGACAGCCAGGACACAGAGCCTGCCTGATGCAATGGGCAGAGAGCAGGGGGAGGTCTGCAGCCTGCAGCAGGGGACCCTGGCACAGAGCGGGTCCCTGCATTTGGAGGTTTGCTGATATGTTTTTAAAGGGCTGGATGTGGGGGGAATGGGAGGGAGGAATTTCAAACCCAGGCTGAAGCAGCCACTCCTGGGGGTTTCCTGTTAAAGCTGAGTGCTGTCAGCACAGCTCACTGGAGCTAACCATCAGCCTTGCTGCCATCGGGCCGCTGCACGGCTCTGCTCATGCTGGGCTTCCTAAATCACCCCCAGCTGAGCTCCTCACCCCACCAAGGTGACCCTTCCACAGCCCCAGTTCAGCAAAGTGCTTCAGGAGGTGATTTTCTGAGCTCCCCGGATGCATTGCTCGTTGGTCCCATCTCACCTGGACAAGAACTGGGTGAGATCTGACGCTCTGGGATGCAAACTCAGGAGCCCAGACACACACATCCATGTCAGAAAAGATGATGCACCAGCGCTGCCAACAGAAGAAGCGGCGCCTGCTGAAGTCAGCAGCTTATTGCATTGCTGAGGAGCCCAGCCAGGACTCAGGAAGCACCTAAAGCATCCCCAGTGTCTCCTCCATGGCATACTATACACCCGCTATAGGCCATTCCACACCAAATCTGCCCGTAGATCAGTAGCACAAACATACTGGGCTTTAGTGATCTGGTGTTTGCCACTATCCATCAGTATTTTGCACTTACAAGATTTTGTTATGGTCAAAGGGGATGTCAGGGTAACCCAAGGGATGTAGGCATGTGTGCATGGAGGTGTTCAGGGCATGGAGAACACGCCAAAGAGCTCTTCTAATAATCTTTCCATTCAGAAGATGAATAAAATGGGCCTTCGGTACTGCTAGGTTTGATTTTCATCAAATGATGCACAGGAAGCAGAAAGCCTCCTTTCCTCACATTTCGAGATCTGAAGGCATGACAGCATTAAAACTGGGGGTTAATTTGCGGTTGAAATTAAAAAAACCCAAGATCCCTCCATCTGGTGCTTTCCCTGTCACTGCCCCTTGACCTTTCTGCTCCTCCATCCAGTTCCTGCCCCCAGCACCCAAGGTATGGGGGGGGTCCCAGTGCCCTCACCCAGCTCTGGGGCTCAGCAGAACCTCTGTGCCCCTGCCCACTGCTGCGGGCAGCCAGGCGCTGCCAGGGTGAATCAGCACACAGCCAGTGGGGCCTATTCCCTTGCAATTCCTTGACCTACATACCCGCTTGGACTTCAGCTCACTTGCCCCTTTAATGCAAACCAAATCCTCCCTCCTCATCTATTATGCACTTAAGGGGTTAACTTTCTATGGGCATCCTTGGTGGGTCCAGCTGCAGGTGGGTATCTCTGGTGCCTGCTGGCTACTACTTGCATCCGAAGCCCCTTAATCTTGCAGCTCCCAGCGCAGCCACCTGCAAAGCAGCACCATCACCTTCGGTCTGCCCTTCCCCTGTCCCGAACGTGGGGAAGAGATGTGCAAATCCTTCAGGCTGACCCGACCGAAGGCTGGAGGAAATACAGCCCGGGGAGGGACTGCAGAAGGGAGCCTGCAGCTGATTTACCAGCCTGCACTTGCGTAATGCTGCTCTCTGGAGACAGGCAGACGGGGCTGTCGGAGCACGGCAGGGATGGCAGGGTGCCACCTGACCGAGGTGAGAGGAGAGGAGCAAGAAATCTTCCCCCAGATCCATAGAGCACTGGGTTTAAAAGAGAGGCAGTGTGGGATGTAAAATCCAGGTAGCGCTGGATTCAAAAGAGTGAAAGAAGGATTAGCTCTTCCCCATCACTTTTTCCACATTCTTTTGAAACAGACCCAGAATTTCTCCTTTGACCTGCTGTCAAAGGGAAACAATCCTCCAGATTTCCACTGCCAAACCATCACAAAAAGCTCTATTAACATCTAAAACTTCCTTAAAGCACAAACCCAAAGAGCAAGTCCTGTCTGCCTGCGACAATTTTAGCATCAGAGATCACCTTGGTATTGTAAATAGCCAACATCTGGCATCAGATGCACAGCAAATGAGCTGAAAGTGAGCCCCCTGGGCAGACGTTTTATATCTATTAATAAGAAAAGGAAAACAATTACCTGCCTTGCTCCTGCCACCAGACGTTAGGAGCCCATTAAGAGTGGAGAGGCAAGCCCTGCGCAGGCAGGGCACAAGGACGAACCCAAAGCAGAAACAAGCCAAACCCCAAAGCTCATATTTACGAGAAGCTGAAGCAGTTGGATGTCCCCTGTCACCATTAAGGTCCTTTCTGTCCCATAAGGTCATTTCTGTTCCAGCTGAGGATGAGGATGGGGTGAGCACCCTCGGGGGCATCCATCGCCTGCCCCAGGTTGGAGCCACGCAGCATCTCTGGGGCCAGAGGAAGATTCCAGTTGAGATGCTTATATAAACATGTTATCACAGCTGAAAAACAACCTGGGTGCAGTGATGGGGGGAGAGAGGGAAAACGGAGAAAGCCAAAAAAGCCCTTGGCTTCATCTGCTCCTGGAGCTGTGATTCATATGACTCCATGCACATGGGGCTGCTCGGGTGAGACAGAGCCCAGCCTGTGAGATCAGGATCAGAAACAGAGTCACAAGCTGGACTCTGAGCTGTAGGGAGAGGAAAAGGTGGAGGCAAATGCCCAGGAACAAAGAGCAAACCCACCCATGAGCTCAGGAGCACCCAAGGGCATTGAACACCCCATCTGCCGAGCCCCAGTACCGTTTGAAAGCAGAGACAACTTGGTGTTAACTCATTACCTGTGCTTCAGAGTCCGCAGCGAGCTCCAACCCCGGCCCCTCCATGCTGGAGGCTACACCAGCACCACTGAGATGGCACGTGCTCCCCACTACAGCTGGCTTTGAAGGTCCCGGATTCCCAGATCAGCCACTCACTCTGGAGTGAACCCTGGACAAATGTCACCATTCCCAGAAAACAGGGACTTTTTGCTCCATAATTAGAATTCGTAATTTTTTCCCACTTTTATTTTCACTTACACACCCCCTCATCCTGCTTCTGAACTTCCCAAATCTCCCGCAGGCGCGGGGCTCCCTGACCTGGAAAATGAGCTGTTTGCAGCCTTGACTAGTTGATATTCATGCAAGATGCAGGTTTCAAAAGCATTTCCAAGCCCTCTCTGGTGGAGCTGGCGGGAGCTGGAAGAGATCCACTCCTCTGGAAGTGAACTCCTCTACTCCATTTTCTTCCCCAAATGTGGTACTATTGGGTGTAAGAGCTGAGAAAAGGCACAGATGGCAGGACACGCTGGAGAACCTATGAATCAGATGCTGTAGCATTTTGGTGGGAGGTTATTTTTTGGCTGAACAAGCAGCAGCATGGGATAAGTGGCCACAGGGAGGTGAAGAATAATGGTGGAAAACTGCATTGTACAATTAATAATGAAAAAACCCCAACCAACAACTAAAAATAGAGCAGCTGTATCCCAGATGATTAGAAACAGCCCTGAGTGCAAAACACAGGCTGCCTGGAGTCTCCCCTTGGAAATACTGTGCCCCTGGGAGCCGGGCAATTTGCATCTCAGCATCAGTGACTGAGTGGGGTCTGCACAGCTTGGGGATGAGACGGTGAGTGCAGTGAAAAGGGCTGGTGCTGGTGAGAAACTTGAGCTGAGCAGCCCCCAGGACGGCTCAGCTGCATCCCAGAAGGGCTCTGACTGCTCCCGATGTCCCTGAATGCTATGGCAGCAGTGTAGGAAACATCAGCACATCCCAGGACCACACGCTGCAACACACACAAGCACCACAGCACCAGCGGGGGAAGGAAACTGCCTTGGGCTGGTGACCACCAGCATGATGCAGACCACAGGAGCTGGGCTCCTCGCTTGGACTCAGTGCTGCTTAGGCCTCTATTTACACCCTGCTGCCTTCAGCAAGGCAAATGGGCCAAAAACCCAATTGGGGCTGATTCTGCGGGGCTCAGAGGGCCTCCAGCCATCACACCTCACAGTGCGTTAGACCCAGGTCAGGTATGTCTCCAGCATCCCTGCCTAGTCAGAAACAGAGAGTGAACTGTGCTCCAGGTGAGAACATGGAGATTTCTTCCAAGGGAAAGGAAAAGAGACAGTTCATCCGATTCCCCTCTCCCATCCTGCACCAGTCCCATAGCAGGATACCCAGTGGGCTCTCCCCGCCCGTGCTCATCCCAGAGACTCACCTCACTGCCCAACACTCCTCCACCTTCCTCTTCCCAGCCACTGCTCCCGTCAGGTCGCATTAGAGGCAAACACACTCACCCATTTCCCGGGATCTCCCTTTGGGCCAGAGCCTGGCTCAGCTCCTCCAGCAGTGCTGGCTCTGCCTGAGTGAAACAGCTACAGTCCCCTTTTTGCTCCAGGCAGGGGCAATGGGAAGCTGTTCCCGGAGTGACAGACACAAGGATGACTCATTTCCCATGTTTATTCCCCCTCTTCCCATTCAACAACCCTCGCACTTCTTTCTCTCTCACTCTGCATTCAGGCTGTGGAACATTTTGCCTGCTCACTCTGTGTGAGGGTTGGATTTCAGCTCGCTGCAGCTTCCCCAAGGGCTGCAACGCTGATGGCTGCAGGGCTTGCAGCATCCTCAGCACCAAGCAGCCAGCCAGGAGCTGAGCCCCTTTATGCTGCCTGGTACCGAGGGGCTGATCAGACCGTGGGGCTGATAAAGACCCTATGCATGTCCCTAGGAATAGCCCCATGCCGGCTCCATCCACAGACAGATGGGTCCCAGCCTGTCACTGACTGTCCTTCATCTGAAGGGACACTGCAGACTCACAAGCCTGCCCTGCAGTGAACATTTGCTGTAGAGGAAGCAGGCAGGGAAGGAGAGGGAAGGGGGGCAGAGAAGCCAGGAGAGCTGGGCATCACTTGCTGTTCAGAGATGCCCGAGCTCATCAGCCTTGAAGGGATGAAGGGCAAGAACGGCACCCACCAAAGGACCAGGGACTTTGTAACTGCTGTATTTGGGCAGGACAACAAAAGGCAGATTAGCAGCTTGATGTGATGAGGAGGAATATTTAATGCCAGGCTGGACCTGTGTCTAGATGCTGGGTGCAGAGATTGGCATCTGTGTCGTTCCCTCTGCCTGGTTGTGGGTCAGTTGCATTGGGTTACCTGACATTTAAGATGGGCAGATGTGCTGCAAACTTGCTGAGGTCTCAGTGGGTACTGGGCAGGGGCTGGACCTCCTCTGTGGGCCAGGTTTTACAAGGAGGGATGGCTCACTCAGGACACCAGCTCCCTTTCCCTGCCGAAGCATCATCTGCCCTGTCTGGCTCAGGAAATCCTCAGCCTTACAGTGGGAAAATTAAAGGGGAGAAAATAAACACATCTGGCCCCAAACCACCTCTGGGGCTCTCGGCTTAGCTCTGCTGCATAGAGACTGATCCATCTGCTGTGCACCCCCCCAGCCTCTCTGCTGGGTCTGGGCTGCCAAACCCTGAGGCTCGACAGGATGAGCTTGTCTGTGCTGCCTGGGCACTTAATCTACTCAGTGACCTTTAGCAGCAATGGGCTGTACTATCTGCATTTTCACCACATGGCCTCCAATGAAAAGCATGGCAATACCTGCAGCACCTCTGTATTGTTAGAGCAGGGTCAGCAGGGTCTTGAGGGGCCTGGAGAAGGTATTTCTTGCTGTCTTTTCTTCCTATCCCACCT